ACCTACTTTATTTTTTTTTACTCATTTAATTCATTGTGCAAATATTTGTTTCTTAGTTTGCTTTTAACAATATTTTGTCAGGGTATAAAGCATTCTCGTGCCCTTTAAACAACACTAAGTTGTAAGATTGTTTTTTAAAATATTGGGCAGTTTATTTCTTTTGAAATTAAAGTACAAAGCTGCACAAAGGAATGTTTGTACGCTACCCACCACGGGTATCGAAACCGGTTTCTAGCATTGTAAGTCCGCAATCATGCCCCTGTGCCACTGGGGGTAATATAGGGTAGATCTTATTTTATAATTCTTTTACACCTGCAAGATTGTCAGTTGTAATTTTAAATTATTTTGACTCAGTTTCTGTATTCCAGCGCCTTAATAGAGATACAATAACGAAACGTCGTAAGAATATCGTTTTGCCTGAAATTAGAGGTCGCCAACTTTTAAACATATGAGAAGTACTTCAATATACACTATAACAACTAAAAAATGGAGAAAAAACACTAGATGTCACTAGCAGTGCCTGTTGCGGTGTAAATTGTGCGTAGTTGTTAAGGTATACTGCGGTTGTTTATTTACTACGTCTCAATTCTCATGTGGAGGTTAACGAAAAAAAAACGTGACAGGTGTGAGTTCTTACAAGTATATTTACAAATTTGTCCTGCAGACTTACGGGAGTTACGACAGATCTAGGCATAGTTTTCGGCGCTTTTACATTGAAAGTATACTTGCAGAATTGACAGACGAATTTGCATTTCGTTGTTATTGACTTATTCAGTTCAAACCTCAATATGTGATACAACTTTGCCATGCTGTGTTGTTTATATACTAACACAGTAACGTAATAGTATCTTCTTTTTTTTTTTTGTCAGCTTCAAAGTCCAGTTAAATTATATTTATAAATTGCACGACAAAGGCTTACTTCTTAGTGAAACTTGTTTTGGTGCTTTTGTAAGAACGAAACAGAAAATGACTACACCCGGTTCCTGCCTTTTTTTTTAGTGAGTACACCAGTAATCCAAGTTGTATTATACAAGTCTAATTTGAAATTATTTTCATTCCAGCACCTCTTTACTAGCAGTAGCATTATGAATTCAAAGATAAAGTCAAGTAGGTTTAACATATTTGAAAAACTCAATTATAATGTGAATAATGAAGAATCATGTAAGGTACAAAGACCTTCGCCTAAACAGACACAAGACCAGTTAGTGGATAATAGAGGAATTGATTACGAAGAGTCAAGATTCAGTTCCAAGCGTGACTGTGAGGTATGTCATTTGGTTTTAAATTACATGGAAACTACACTTTGTTAGATTAGTTTTCAAAGTATTCAGCTTGAGCGTTTTAAGATTTTAAAAACACAGATAGGCTCCAATTAAGACAGTTTTCTTTTTTAAGATGGTGGTTGACTTATGAAATGAGTCGCCATCAGCAGTAGTAGAGACGCGCTCTTTAAAGAGAGTGAGTAGGAAATTGAGGTTTTCTTGAATAATAAAGAATGGTTTTAAATTTTCACTCTTAAGAAACAGCCTTACAAAACCAAATGGTTCCATGTTGTCTGTATATTAAGTAAGATGAATGTTTATAGTAAGAAAAGTTAAGTTACGCCTTTGGAAAATGAAAATTTAGAAGGGAATAAATTCCTATATAAGAAAAACATTTATGTTATGGAAAAAAAAGAGAAGTGTTTAGGTGTAATTGTTGATAAAACCCTATACATTTCTGCAAATAAAAATAGCAATTATACTCTGTAGTTCTTTTTTCTGTAAATAAGAATTTTACATTTAAAGATAAAAAGTTGTTGACTCATATAAGATTTTGGTGAAATGTCAATTAGACTATTGTGTACAGTTTGCTCCTTTTCTAAAGGAAGGCTATCAAAATGTTGGAAAATTGTATTTTTGATCTTTGACAGCATTTGTTTTTTCTTTTCAGTTTTGCGTATGAACTTGTAGAACAGCTTGCTTGATGATGTGATTTTTTTTTGTTTAATAGTTTAAATTGTGAAAAAGTCTGTTTGATAGGTACACGTACAGGCTTATAAATGTGATGTAATTTTGTATGCTAAACCTGTTGTATATAATTTCTGTCAAACATTTATAAAAATTATACCAGTGATGAAACATACAAAGTTTAATTTTTTGCATAAACTAAAGTAAAGCTAATGAGGAAACTAATTTTTGGTACAAACACAAACGGTAAGTCATCATTGAAAGGAAATCAAAACTATGTTGTGTTGTTTTTATTTCCTTGAATTGCACCAAAGTACATTTTGATGTAATATTACTTTTGCTTGGATATTCCATAAAATTTTTTATAACACAGGCCTCTTGGATGTGAAGGTATAAGTTGGTTACATATTTTTTTTAGCTTAGGAGTGCCCTTGATGGGCCCAACAGCATATTGTCACCTTCCCTTTTTATTTACTCTCTAAATATACAGAAAACCATTCAACACATCAAGAGTACCTCTTAATTTAAAAA